TTTCATTCTTCCAAATTTTATAAGATCATACAATTAGAGAATACTCTTGCGCGACGATCGTGGTGCGAAAAATCACCCAATATCCTCTCCTCTCCACTCCTCTCCCACCCTTCTAATTTGATGCGACTCGCCCCCACTAAAAGGACGCGGCAGAAGCGTCTATTTAACGCCACTTCATAACGCTCGAGAGAGAAATTGGCGCGCGGCAAAGCCCCGCCAGCTCGATGCAAGAGTATCGATAATCGGTACTCGGTGGAAACTTCGCAGACTATCGGTCGCCCCGTCGTCAATTGAAAACCGCTTCGAGCCGGGGTTATCGCGTCGAATCCCCTCCTTCTCTTTTCTCCCCCCTCCCTTCCCCAGTGGCGGGTCCTTCCCTCCACCCTCTCTCGTCCGGTTGTTCCATCCCCTCGGTCGGAGTCGCGATTAATGCGCCATTAAAGGAGATTGGAAATCCTTTCGTCGGGACTTTCGTCGTCGTGCTTACGAACGGCGAAGTTCCCACGAGCTTCGACAGATACACACACAGTTGAGGATTTTGCATTCCATTTGCAAGGGAACGTTTCCCCACGGCCGCTTTTCATTCTCCCGCGGGTGCACTCCGCTGCAGTCGAGAGGGGGTGAGATCGCATTTACATGGAGTCTCGAGTCGATCTCGAGGAGCAGCGATACGATCGCCTTGTTTTTCCGGATACGGCTCCAAGAGTGGAGATGCTCGCGAGAAGAAATCTGAGAATCGAGTTGCGTGAGTAGGGGGAGGGTCGTTTTGGGGGACGGTTTAAGACGCGGAGGAAGGATAACCGCAAGTTTTGTAGGACTCGAGGGAGAAATGGAGCAATTAGTATATGGATTTTTATATGGCCTGTGGGAACATGAAATTCTCTTTTGTTAAGGAGATCAGTTAGTGTTTGTGTAAGATGTTAACTCTGTTCGTGGTTGAGTAGAGAGTTTAGTGGAATAAATCGGAAGATATTGCTTCCTGTATATTGTAAAGTGAAACTTGTATTTTTAGTTTATGATTCTAAATTATTTTTTTTCACAGTATCATGGTTTTTGAAAAATAAATGAATCCTTCAGGATAAATATTATGTATAGTATGAGTGGATAGGTTAATTAGTTTGATTTTTGGATATCAGATTTGGAAACAGTTTAAGGAAGAAGATTCATTGATCAGATAATGATCATAATGAGAATCCAATCTAGTCGTCAGATTTGACAGATTGCATTATTTTCAAGTGAAACTTCCAGTTTGAATTTAAATGAAGTTCAGATCTTGCGTGCACTTCGATTACGCTCAAACTTCAAAGACTAACGTGAACGGACGTGGTGAAGTTTTAGCAAGGAAATTCTTGTGATACGTTCCTTTAGAAAGGATATTTGATGGAGTTTCGAGGAAAATGAAGCAGTTAGTGAGATTGTTTGAAAATTGAGAACACCTTTGTTGAGAGAGTATCTTAAGGATCTTTGTTTGGAAAACAATATTATTCACGAAGAGAAAAAAAAAATTAATACTAAAAATCAATACCCGATTTACGACAAAAATTTATCGAAATAATAATTTTTAATTTTTTTAAACATGTTTTTAACATACTGCATTGTTTTTTGTCTCAATACAAAAAGACAAAAGAACAAGGCATTCGTTTAAAAGAAAATCGAATGTATTTGAACAAACAAGAACCGAGGTGTCTTCTGCTCCGTGCGTTATTTATATAAGATCTTGAATCGCTTGCCTCTCCAAAAACCGATTGAACAGTCTGAAATCGTTGGAAGGTCAGCATTTATATTTGCACATTCCTTTCCAAGTATCGTTACGAAAATATAATGTTCAAAAAGGAAGAATATATTACCATATATTAGAATATATTATCACAATAATTCATCTTATTTTTATTAATTATTTCAAGGATAATACATGCAAGATGAAACTATAATCAAAAGATATTTTCAAATCCTTTCTTAACATCTCTCTTACTCTCTCTCTCTCTCTCTCTCTCTCTCTCTCTCTCTCTCTCTCTCTCTCTCTCTCAAAATCTTACTCCGTTTATATTTCGCTATTCCGCGAAACCACCGCTAAATTCAATCCAATTTCATCCCCCTACGTGTCTTTCGAATAACTTTCGAAACTTCCATTCTCCTATTCTCGCGAGATTGAGATTCTACTTTCCACGAGTGCACATACGAGACTCGTCCGTCTCTTGTCGGCCAATTACCGTGGAACAATACACGGCAATTACGCGAGCAAAGATTGAATACAATGCGAGGAAAGGAACGAAACTTCTGTTCACGTGGAAAACGTAAACGACCATGTCGAAGAATGACGTAGTACAGAGGGGTCAAGCGACTTCGACATTGAACTTGGCCCCGTGCCGGAAAGTTTTTAATTTATTCGACCACCCCCTCGCGCGATTCTTAAGAGAATCGAGGAGGAGAGCCGTTCCACGGCTTCTTTTCACATGGAAATACGTTTGTTTACGGTATGAAGAGGAACCAGGGATCAAAAGTTTTGCTCCTCGAACTCGGCGGGGGTGGTTGCTTGAAAGTTGGCGAGATTTTTCACAATCCAATCGATTCTGTTATGCCTCGCCCGTTAACCTCGCGATTCGAATGTTATTTAATGCTCGACTGAGAAATGAGGCGATGAACGGAGAGGAAATCTTTTGAAATTTTGATGAATAATTATTATTTAGGGAATAATAGATTATATGAATTTATGAATTGGTAGGAATTTTTTAATCTTCTTGATAGAGATGAATCGATTCGATTTCCCAGTAATATTGTTACGAATAAATTGGAATGAATTATTATTATCTTTTTATCATATGTTTTTTAAAATTCTCCTTGTACGTAGGATCAATCAAATTCTTCAAGGATTCAAATAGGGGCGATTATCTCATGGTATTGTAATCAAAACCAAGACATTGAGGTTTCTAAAGCTTCAAAGTTTCGAAATAGTTTATGGATCTCGAGTATTCTGACCTTGGATTCTTCTGAGAAATAGCTCATCCATATATTATTCAACAACTGATCCTAGAAACTCTCAAAAATTTGAAAACTTGGTGAATTTTAATATCTTTAAGACTCTGAATTATGCTGTGATTTTAATTGAAATTTCTAAGGTAATAGCCATTCTTTTGTACCACCCTTAAAATATTCATTTTCATAAAGTTATTATAATATTCCCAGAGTCTAGGCATATCCTAAATACCATTCATATTGGTAGAATTTCCATACATGCTAAATACCTCTCGTTCCTTTGATACCTTCAGTGACTGCGAATATCTCCTGTAATACCTGTAGAATTTCCAAATTTCAAATTCCAATATTGAATATAACCTCTTACGTCTTGGAAAAACACTCACAGCATCCCCTACAATAAAATTTTTAGGATATCTACGATTCGAATCCGTTAAATAAATTTCAAACCATTAATTAAATTAACCTTACATCGATATTTAACAACTTTTATTTACAAGTTTTAAAAAATATAGAAACTTTAGAATTATTACAAGTATCGTTTGTTTAAAAAGCAATAACTCATTGACTTTATATACGCATGTATCTCCCTCTTCCTCTGACATATTCCTCGATGCAACTTTTTAAATTACAAATTTCACTATTCATTTTCCATATATCATTCCAGATGACCTACATCTACAACAAATCTCATACGTTAATTAAGAGAAAACGAGAAGAAACAAAACTTTCACGAATTTCCTTCAATGTAACCACACTTCAATTCAATTCCTACTCCTACGCCATATCCACACTTTACTTTTTCACTCTATCCAAACGCTCTCCAACCCTCCTTTCCCAGAATCTCGAGGGTCCCGTCCGAGGTTTATACGCGGAAACCCGGTGCAACGTTAGAAAAACGATTTCTCATCGCCGCTTGAAATTTTCATGAAGGCAGTCCGCACAATTGCGCCTAATCGTGGATCGATCTCCACACATAACCGCAAGCGAGCAGGGTATTTGCACACGACCAGATTGCTCCGTGTCTCGTCTACGTGTTTAGCTTGTGGGAAAAGCAAAACGCGTAATCGCGCTCCGTCTCGCTCGTTTAACGAGCGGAAACATTATTAACGCGCGCGTACCTAGCCGACTTTTTCTCCTTTTTTTTTTTTGCCCCGGATGTATTTGACGCCGCCATTCCTGTGTCCTCTTCTCTTTCTCTCTTTCTCTCTTTCTCCACGTACGTCCTTCTGCACCCACTCTTCCCCCTCCCCTCTTTCTTCTCCACCTTCTCCACCTCTGAAACCCATTGTACACTCGGTCGCCGTAGTTTCTCAGGGACGAGTGGCGTGGGAAGGTTCGCAGGGCCTTAAAGTTCGCTAGCCAAGGTGCACGAGGCAGATTCTGAACTGGCGGAGCCATTCTAACCTAATTCGTGCAACGAATGCGAGCGTTGCGCAAGCGTTCACGCAGGCCCAATTAAGTAATTAGCTGGTGGCTCGATTAATTCGTGGCCACGATTAATTGGGATCCATGGGCCCATAGTAAGATATAATTGTATATGTGCGAATTATTCTGCCTTTTTTTTCTTTTTTTAATCCTGCTTAACCTAGTTTTTGGCGAGAGGTTATATCGAGGAGGTTATGGGTAGGGGATCGAGTAGAGGTAATTTTTGATTTTGGATTACGATGCGTGTAGTTTTAGTTAATGATAATTCTTGTACGAAAATATTATCTATTTATCATTGAGCCATAATAGCTTTGTTGTAAATAAGTAAATTTAGGTTATTGGTAGGAAATGGAGGAATCGTGTTATGTTTCTGGTCATAGGAAAAGATTGTAATAGAATTTTAAAGAGATAAAAATTAATCGATCTGATTAATTATTTTTATTTTATGAAAAATAATTAATTCCTTATCTAAATTTTTCAAAACTAGTTTCTTTGAATTTAAATTTAAATAATGCTTGTCTAAATACTTCGAATATAGTTTGCCGCCAATTTTGCACGACTCAATCATTGATAACGTTCTCTCTTTCCTTCTGTTACAGCCGAAAGAACTCGATCGTTCTCAGGACACAGCTGTCCGTGAGGGTGCACACCATCATAGGTGAGTATATTGGATGCTTGATTCGAATCTAACCACGAGCTCCCACGATCTACTTGAACGGATCATCCAATTCACGACGATTCCGTCGACCTCTAACCAACATCGTTGGGTCAAATCTTGCTCCACTTCTGTTTCTGATGATCGATAAAGAATCGTTAGTCACGTAACGAATATATCGTCGAATCGGCTACATTGGCTTGAATTTCGATATAATTGGTGTGAATCATCGATATAATAATAATAATAATCAAATGTGAAAGGTTAAGTGTATCGTTAAGAGTTTTACGACATTAATTCAATTTGTTTGAAAATTGGAGAAGATCAGATAACTATTCATGCGTATAAATTACGCGATAAAAAATTTTATGACAATATGTTATTTATTTTTTAGAAACGTTGTTTCGAAGATTTCTTTAAACGATACGAATATGAAAAAGTCTTGGACAAATAGAAATCATCTTTTTTATCGACTATTAAAATAATAATAATAATAATAATAATAATAATAATTCAATAAATTCCTAATAAAATTTTAATTACATAATGAACATATGAAAATCATGCGCGTTTAATTTATACGCGATTTCAAATTTTTTTACACATCAACTTTATATCACAATAGAATTAGATAACAAGGTATTAATAATTCTAAAGCGAACAGGGTAATATCTAGCAGCGAATCCATTATAAATTAGGAACATAACTGCAACATTAACTGCATTATCATCGTATTTCTGGAAGCCATTCTAGCCTCGGTTGAAACAAGCTAATTAAAGGTTACAGTGTTAAATAACAAAGGATAAGCATTACTCATTTCGCCGTGAATATTTGCCGAAAAACAATACGTAATATTGCAAACGTGTTGCGTGCACGGCATTTACAAATGAATTTTAGTTATCGCAAATGCGATAATAAACATCGAACGATTATTAATAGAAACATTTTCACCCTCTCTTGTTAAATGATCGAATTACGCGTTATTTAAATTTTCCCGCGTTAATTATCGTTCTCACGAAGGATGCATAAATCAATTTTCGGGGAGGAAATAAGAAAATAAGAAAAGAAAAAAAAAAAAAGAAAAGAAAAAGAAAGAGTTCCCTTGGGTGCCTCTCGAAGAAAGATTTAATGTGGAGTTACGGTTCGAGATAATTTCTTTTCTTTTTTTTTTTTTTTTTTTCATGAAAACGTCGCACGAAGTAATGACCGGTGTATAAAGTGCAGAACAGTGTAACAACGACAAAAATCGGCCTAGGGATTCGCTAGAGAGCACCGAGCTATTAATCACCGTGACAGGTGATGGTTAACCGCGCAATGTCCAATAAAAATCCGCTGACCACGGATTTTTTTTTTTCAGCAGCCTGGATGCAAATTCGCAACGTTTAATTGCGTGAAAGTAATGATCGTTTACGAGAATATTTTTCGTATTGTGATTAATAAAGTTTGCATCGATATTTTTTATCTTCTTGCTGGAAGATGAGAATATAGGATATATTCCCGATTGAAATGGGCATAATATAATAAGTATTTTGGAATGTTTGTTGTAGAAATTTAAATAATACGTATTTATTATTTTATTTATCAAAATTTACTTGTAAAATATAGCAATTAGACAAACTGAATATATGTAATAGATCTGTTCTAAGATATTCAAGTAAGTATTTCCTCTAATTAATTTGAGTTAATTAGACTTGGTATCGCACAGTTATCAAAATCAAGGCTTCAAAGTATAAACTATATTTTGTATTCGACATTTTTCCAGTAAATGCAATTAAATTCATTATAGGTTCAATAAATGTGTCATTATCGGTATATCATTCGGTTCAAGCAAAGCTAACTGCAATACCAATGAAACATCAAGATATATCATTCAAAAGGATATAACTTGATTCAAAATAAAATTTTTTCTTATTAATTTATTTTAATTTGATTCTATTAAATTTTCTTTAAGAGTAATCAAAATTATTGTTTTACTTAATACTTTATTTCTCAAATAGAATAGATTAACAACAATACAAGATTATACATCAAACAAAAATAAATTAATAATATAACAATTATAAAATTCATTAAATTTAAGAAGAAAATAATTTAAATTAATTTAATTTATCTTCTTGGAACTGAATTGTCTGAAATTCTAGGAATTTTAATAGAATGTAGATTACAAACTAAATACAATTTAGTATGCTGCTGTTTGAATTAATTAAATTCTATTCAAGAATAAATATTTCTGAATTATTTTTTTCATTATTAGAACATTTTTCAACTCGATATCAATTCCACTATTTTTCTTCANATTACAAACTAAATACAATTTAGTATGCTGCTGTTTGAATTAATTAAATTCTATTCAAGAATAAATATTTCTGAATTATTTTTTTCATTATTAAAACATTTTTCAACTCGATATCAATTCCATTATTTTTCTTCAAAAAAGCATAAATGTACACCAATCACACAAAGATTCAAAAATCCAATTTATCCTTTTTTTTTTCTACCATTACAAAGAAACCATTACAAGCCAACAAAGCCTTCATTTTTCTCGATTCTTGCTACACAACCGCAAGAAAGTCGCTGAAGGTCGACAATTCAAAAATATCCTATTCGTGACGTAATTGGAAAAGCGATTACGCTTAGCCGACCTCGCCGAAATTACCAATTTCATCGAGCAATTAACATGCTCGAAACATTTCCACGAGAGGGACAGTATTTTTGCGGTTTTCTGCTCGTAATTATCCGCGAACCGTCGCTCTTCGTCGCCTTCGTCGTTGGGAACTCGTCGTGAAAACGGTTGAAAGGCGTCCTCGACGCTGGAGGCGGTCGGTCGGCCCCCGGTTAAATCATAATATTACCCAGGAAAATTGAATCGTACGGCACGCGGTGAGATTTCCCGCTAAAATCACCGTGAAAATGGCGGTCTTCGACGAGAACGTGGGCCGTGTCGCCTTTTTTTGGCGCGAGGAGAAAGAGATGGCGCTAGGCGATCGATGAAGGGCGAAAGAAATATCTTATTTTGTCAATTTCGAGGAAAAGACAGGGAGGGGTGGTTGAAATTCGACGAGGAGAAAATGTAATAAATGATCGGTTGTTACGACGCCGCCCGTTGAAGCGTATGATTTCAAGATCGAGGCGACACATGTTATCTCTCCTCCTCCTGTTGGGATGAATTTTTCGTGGATATTATAAATATTTTGGATAATATGTACGTAATGGGGTATTTGGTGTATTGATCGTTTTCCATGTCTGGTGTAATTTTTTTTGATAAATTGTAAGACTGGAGAAGATTAATTTTGAATGAAATAATTTTTCAAATTTGTAATGCTCGATTTGGTGTGATTTTTTCCTGTAAATGTTGTTAGAAAGATTAAGAAACGCTCGGTAAATGGAAGATAGTTTTGCTTTCTATTAAATGAAAATGAAATATGAAAGTCTGTGTAGTCATTTTTCATATCTGATTTATGGTAGATATGTTTTGTCACTTGATTTATTGCAGAATTACAAATCGGATATAAATATTTATTTTAAAACATATCAAGTGAATTTCACGACTTAAAAAAATTAAATTTATAAATCAATTACTAGAAAATAAAAAAAATTTTATTGTCTTTTAAATTTCACAATTTGATTTATATGTTTTAAATTTAATCAGATATGAAATTATATTTTAAATGAATTTAAGACAATTAATATTCCAATTAGTTAGTATTTCAATTTATGATCAATATATCTGAATTTTGGAATTCAATATTTATAATTTCATATAATTTATAATAAAAATCTAATTTATATAGTAAATCAATCTCAAATGAATAGCAAATATTAAAAATGAATTATTCTGAATTTAAATTGGAAATTACCAAAGCAATATATATTTAATTGATATTTGGTTATTAATCTTTATTAAATCCGTTCTAATTGAGAATATTTCGATTATTTAAATACATCTAGATAATCGATATTTCAATTTCTTACCTTCCAATTATTGATTCTCGTAGATTTTCGTAAGAATTATTTCATTATCAGTAATTATCACTCACTTCGTGATCTTTCATTCTCATTTCACATTATTCAATTACAAAACATTTGAAACTGAGATCCTTTCTTATTGCAATATACTTTATATGTACATCGGTATTCTTACAACACAAAGACAGTTAATTAAAACGACGAAATGTTTCACAAACTAACATCGTGATCTCGTAATTCATTAAACGAAATTCGGTTAAACATATTCTAGTTTCTTTTCGAAACGCGACATGCACAATGGCCGCCTTTCCTCGTTATTTTTTAATGAGCAAAGATTTGTTGAAAAATAGGTCTATTTCTCAATATATTCCATTCTGATCGTTGATAAAAAGTTGCAATGAAAATTTTATCGCGACCCCTTGTTATTTTCAGTCGACAGCGTGACTACGTTGCCTGTAGAACTGTACCATATTGTATATTGCTCTCTATGTATGCGTTTGTACAAGTGTAACTGATCCTAAAGAAGTGCAATCGTGATTGTCCTCGTATTTTAATCTTGAATATGTTGTTACATCGTCTGCATCGTGAAATTTAAACCTATTTTATATTTAACGTTTAAATCAAGCCTTTGTACTACAATTTTCCCTCGAATCAAAACAGACATCTTGAATCTTTATAATTTTATGTTAAGAATATTTCAAAAATAGAGTTCTTTTATTATTTAATATTATTTATTTACTTACTTTAAAGAATAAAATTTTTTAAAATTTTTAAAGAATGAATTTAGATATTAGATATTTAATAAAAATTTAGAAATTGATTTCTAAATAGTAGATATCAATTTCTATGATGGAAATTATAATTTTTCATTCAGAATAAAATGTATCTTTCAAAAGTCATCATTCGATCATTTACAAATCTTTTAATTTCATTATCAAATTATCAATAGTAACTTTTCAAAAGCCAAATGATTTATTTCGATCAATTTTTTTTTTCTCTCGAATGCAAATTATATCTTAATTAATAGCTTGAAGAAT